TTACAAAGCCCTTAATTATGAAATATCGTTGAATCTTTCCTGTTCATAGATATCCCGACAACTGGTAATAAATATGTAGCATATGACAACCATAATTGCTCTGACATTGCACAATGCAAACCAGATAGTGCCACAAACTAAGAAATTCAATTTCTACCAAACGGTGACTAACATTTTTTGCTGTCGCTCTGCTAAGAGGATGAGTTGATGAGACATAATCGCGTGTGTCCCGTTTTAGTCTTTGCAACGCAATATATAGTTAATCCAAAACCAAAGCTCTTTCCTGAGTATAGGCGCTGTCGTCGAAGTAGCAAATTTAATGCCGATCTGTCGTCTATCACGGCATAGAAGGGGTGTTTGAGACTTGAAAGTCTATAAGCAATGTGTTATGAGAATCGTGTGTTTGTAATTGCTCAATACTGGCATTTAAAGGTAATAAACCATGAATAAAAAGCACACTTTATCACTTTCTCGCGTATTTGCAAATTTTCTGTTCCGGCATCTCAAACGCAAATGAGCAGTGGAGTATAATCATATAAATTGGAAGCTGAGATGGAGATTTGCGATAAGCGATGCTTAATCCAACGAGGCCTTCGAGAGTCCTACATTCAATTTCCACAAACCTCTTCCAACCTTGACAGGGGTGAATTTAACTGTAACTGCGGTGAACGAAGGTTATTTCGTCCTCGAAAATGTGCGGCTGTAGGGTGTTGAGAACACAGTGTAATTCAGTTCTTATTGTGTTGAATTTTGTATTACTTTCGCTACACAAAAATATGCTTTTGATATATGTATTGTAGACAAACTGCCTAGTGTTAGCTAACAACCACAGACATGGTAATAATATGGCGTTTCGTTAATTCAAATGATCTCTTTTGTCCTCGGAATCATCTTATTTCCGTCGTGGGCACAGCTTACCTAAAACTTTCAAAACCGACTGCTTATCTACTTTTGTAGTCGATTACAGTCCGCTCCTTTTGCTATACACTGCCGTTTTGTCAAAACCGTCTACTTGGCCCTTTGCCATCCTTTAATTGGTCCCTTTTAGATGGCAACCACTGGAATAAGTGATATGGCATTTTGAAGATCAACGAAGAAACGAAGCACAAATTAACTTCATTAATACAAATAAACACAGTTTACGCTTCTATGCACTATGGACTTACGTTGGCTTCTTTGTTTTTTCAATTTTTGCAAACGTGTCCTTGAAACAGAAACCGCATGTTTTACGGCAATTTACACTCATGTAGCTGACCTCGCTGTCGCAGTCGAAAACGTCCGCCTTTTTTGTACATTCCGCTGTGCTCAGGCGATCAGTACAACGCCTTTCCGAGAAAACTTTGAATGCAAATTATTTATGAATTAGGGAAATTTTCGAAGTTTCTGAGGGGAACGACATGTGTTCTAGCGTGAAATTGCCTACCAAAAGTGCTTAACGGGCATCTGCATTGTCTTCCAGCTAATTTTTCTTAACCCACACATTAAAGTCTGCCCCTCTGTCTATGGGTTCTTTTCAACTCAGGGTAGTAATCAGCAATGTTCTATTGATAACAATTACTTATAACTTTTTGGTGGCAGAGGAACACAGGGCAATACGATTGACGGCATAAAATCCACTTCTCCAATAAGCGTTACCATTTGATGAAAAATATGTTCTTTAAGATAAAAAGGTAAACTTAATCAGTGAATTTTCAAGACTTGTTCCACAGCTCGTCTTCGGACTAACGAGAAATGTGCAAATAACAAATAAACTTTCCAACGTGCGGAAAAATCAATAGTCATATGGTGTGAGAACTGATAGGTAGTTGTGGCCCTCTTCTCTCCTATCGCTCTTTAAGCTGTTTATTACTTCCATCAAACTATATGGGACGGTTCATGCATGAATCGT